CCATAGATGCATGTACTCAGACCATTTTTAATGTCGTGAACGTAGTGCTCTTTCTTTATTTTGGAAGACGCGTTGGTGCATTTATTATGGTACAATCACTTGAGAGTTGAGAATTTGGAGAGCGAGCAAGCTTTCCCAACTTTGTCTCTTTCTCTCTGGCACTGCCCTGTTTCGGTTTCAGTAGGCATATCTACTAGCAGGTACAAACTGCTCTAAAGCAGGTAAAAAACGGGAAGCTTAGGACGGTGCGGACTCTGTATTTCGCGCTTTTCGCAAGGTGACAGGGTAAATGCTTTTGTGAGATATGCGGAATATGCAAACGATTTTGTTATGCCCGTCGTTTGCGTCTCTCCAGCAAAACGAATAAGATGATCTACTACAACTACTACAGCTACTGGGATGATCCGTGTAGCTGTATTTTACCCTGCTCTCTGCAACACCGTGTCATGACGAAGAGCTGGAACGGTCACGGTTTGTGCTGGCCTCCCGGTTGACAGAAACCCGCGTCGCCCGCATCGGCACCGAGTGCGCTTGGGCTGTTGATGCTCAAGTCTTTCATCCGCGGTTTGTCGCCAGCTCATCCTGCTGCTCAACGGTGAGGAAGCGGCGAGAGTAACCTCGGAAGTGAATGTAAATCCTCGTTCATTCAGTTATCCGGTGTCAAAGTGTGAAAGATGTCCAACGTGTACTAAGGGCGGGAACTACGAGCGTTTTGCCTTGCTTTTATAACCGAAACCTGACCAACGAGATAACTGCCTTGCGTACTCTAAAATGACGGAAGCAATAAGTTTCAACAGGTCGAGTACGTCACCGGGGATGTAGGCGAGACGGTGCACACTGTTTAAACGCTTGCAGTATCCACGAGTGGTACCAGGAAAGCGACGTCAACAGAGAAGGAGCTCGCGATTCAGCATAATACACTGCGACGGGCCCGTGTATCTTCAGAGTTCGGGGTGGTGGCAGTATAAAGAAAAGACGCATCAGCGCCCCACACCAGTGTTCACGAATAACACCGGTCACAAACTCCCAAGTTCCACCGCTCTTCTCGACACCGACACGACATACGACAACAAACTGCATCAAAACGCCCCAAAAGTGAAGGCGTCTGCTCCCGTACTGCAACTGCTGCAACTAGCGGAAGTGAAGTGTTGGGCGGATGTCCGGATGTCCTTCACAAAAATATATAAAAAAATGCTTTGCGCAAGGATCATTTTCATTTATTATTGTATACGTAATGACAAAATCCCAATAATTTGTTTTCCTATCTGATTCAAGCTAGTCGGACTGCTCATAACACTGGTCAAGCAAGAAAATAACAAAATATTGAACTTTTTCATGACCGGTTTAAGATTTATTGTTAACATATCGTTATTTATCGCAACGGACTAACAATATAGATTTTGCCTCCATACTTTTTAAATGCAAACAGTTCTAACACACGGCTGTCCATTGCGCCGTGTTTTGTGTATTCTTCTATAAACCTGTAAGGGTCAGCGACCAAAGAGCTCACCCGCACATGTCAAGCTTATATGCGCCGCGGGGAGAAACGGATATCGAGTAGGAAGTGTCGGGCGTAGTGTCGGTTGTTGTGTTTGTGTACATATCGGTGCTGTGTAGCTGTGTGCTGTGTTGCCTGCGTTGTATGTAGGGTTGCTGTGTAGTCGTGGTCGTTCGCAGTGTTAACAGACTCGTCTTTTGCTTTAAAAGCAGGCTGCTAGAAATCTCGATAGGTGGCGCAAGTTACCGCCCGATTCTAAATAGTTTGCTCAAGATATTTATCCATATAAATTCGGCATTCGTTTTTTTGTTTTTTTTTTTGTTTAGCGGTTTGTTGAAGCTATTGACGCCGCCGACCGCCGACAACGCTCGTACGTACCTTTACAAGTAGCTACGTCCGCCGCTTGGAGACTTTACTGTGTATAAAAGACATCGAACGAGAACTAACGCGCCCTGTGTGCTTTCAATTCGGCTGAAAGGCGCGCGGCTCGCTGGGCTCGTCTCTCGTCTGTTCTCGGCCGCTGGCCGCCATGTTTCATAAGGAACACGCTCGAAACGGTTTTGCGGAAGGCAGACACGGTGTAGCGTGTTAAGTTTACACATCACCTCATGTGTAGACGAAAAACACAGATGGCCTCGTGTAAAACGAACACGTTTCGACGTGTCCGCTATGGGACAACGGTTTGCACGTCTGGGCGTGTTATTTTTGCTAACCGTGTACAAATGCGATTGGACGATGAAAATGCCTAGTGGTGGTGTGATGCAGTCGACAAATCTTGGTAGAAGTATGCGAATGTAGAGGCACACGAAGCTTTCACGAATTTGACATCAAATTAATGGCTGCCGGGCACATATCTCTACTTTTCCTAAAGCTATAATGGCGTAATAGTTGGTGGAAAACAAGCTTAAAAAACAGAGGGTACCGCTATCACAAAGATGGACCTTCTGCGCAGTTATTCGCAGAGTGCGCAAGGACATGGCTGTAGCAGAACGGCGACACTGTCTTATCACCCGTCTCATCTCAGGGAAAGCTCTCCCGTCGCCCGAAGCCGATTATACTATCCATTCAAGCCACTTCAGCCTTGGTGAACAATGCAGCCTGCACGCTCACGTGTCCAGCAGCTGGCAAGCACGAAGGCCAATGTGTGCAGAAATCTTGTCCTCTGACGACCGTTTTGGGGACGGTAACGCTATTCCGGCTTGCCGCGTCCCGTCAATAGCACTCCGTTTATTGTCAACGTTTTAGGTTACAATAAGTAGCAGTTAGTACGTTTCGGAAGGTATAAAGCCGGCCATGTCGCGTCCGCGCAAGCGGTTCCTTGTGTCTGCGTTTATTACTGCAGGGGGTCATTTCCCTACTTTGCCGATGGCTGAAACGCGTAGTATGTCCCGTCGAGGGTCGTCTGGACACATTCCTCTTTCGGATCCACCGAAAGATTTCGAAAAATCAGAAGCCGAACCCGATTTACAAGAGCAGAAGAACCGGCGCACGGCTACATCCGCAGGCGACGGAGCAAACGTGAATCGAGATGGTCCTTTTATGACGTAGTGGCGCGTCGGCGCGTCACGCGTGACTAGCCAATGGCGTGCCGCTGCGGCGATCGCTTCTCTTTTATTCATTTTTCTTTCGCGTTTCTGGGTTATTTTGGGTCAAATTGTTGCGATATTTGGACTCAGCAGGCACAAACACGTCAGAATTAACTATTAACTCTTTTTTTTTTTTTCGAGAAGCTCATCAGCTTCCCTTTAAGATTGTAACACATTGTATCTTTTGTTCTCAATTATGTAAAATCGGACATCACGTGAAGGCATTTATTCAATATTTTGGTGCATTTTGTACAATTTATACGCTCAGTGCATAGCCACGAGGCCCGCAATTCAAAGATAAGCCAGCCTCATGGGCTTTTCCTAGGAGTGATAGGTAGTTACATATTTGTATTGGCGTGTTACTCGCGCTGTGAATAATTCTTTAATTGAACTATGTTATCACAACAAAAGCATTGAACGTGAGCATTTTTTTAAGAGTTTTGTTTTCCCGGTGACTTTATTCTGTCTAGAATTAAATTCAGATATATATTGTATCAAATAGGTACTACATATAAATCAAATGAACGCAATATTACCTAGTCAAGTGTTTTGAAGTACCCTGGATTTCACAAAGAATAGTTTTTTTTTGCAATGTTCATTCATTTTAGACTTTTCATGCTTTATCTGCTTCAAACTTGGGGATGTTTCATACTTTTGCTTCAAACTTGGGGATGTTTCATGCTTTTGCTTCAAACTTGGGGATGTTTTTTCGTATTTATTTTTTCACAAATGTGTTTTCGTCATCCTTGATATACGAAACATAATAAGTGTTTATGGGGCTTATGTTTAGAAATTAAGACACACAACTGAATTTGCTCAACTTTCAGATAAAGCACGCGAGACCTAAATACCTGTGAAATGTATCAATTTTGACTTTAGTAAAAACAACGGGTTTGGTTTTCGCGGAGGAAACCAGTCTTGCAGAACGTTTAGTTCTTGTTCTTTTATAGGTCAACAAGAACTGCTCATAAATATTTTTATCATAGAGCCTTGTTTGTTTTTCAAGGAAGCTCTAATACAAAGTTTTTAAATTTTTTCGTACTCCAATAAACCGCCTTGGCAGTTATCGGCAGTTTAACGTGGAATACCAAGATCACAGAAACATTTAGTTGTACTCTGACTTTCACGTATGCGTGACAGAATTTGCTATCCCAGCTTGTACACTAGGAGCAGCTGCACCTTGTGACTGCACGGATATGCAATCGGTGTCACGTAATGTAAATTTCCAGCTAAATCTGGCGTGGAAGTTTAATTGGTGTCAAGGTCACATGGTGTCAATATCCCCGCTAAATTTATTGAGGAAACTGGATTTGTATCTAGGTCACGTGACATAAAGTCATACGAGATCATTTCCCCGCTAAACTTGGAGGAAAAATAAATTCGCGTTGAGGTCTCGTGACATCGTCGCCCGTGACGTCGTTTTTTCAGCTACATTTAGCAAGAAAACGAAATTTGTGTATAGTTTGCGTGACATTAGGCCATGTGACGTGATTTTCCTCGCTAAATTTAGCGGGTAAATTCGAAGTTACGCTTTTGAGGCTCCACTTCACCTGAAAACCTAGCCTATAAAGATTTCACGTTAAAGGAGACATCCCTTGGAAGCATTAAGCGTTGAGACATTTTGCAACTGCCGCTGTACAACCCAGGACCTTTTTCTTTTAGTTACGGAATGCAGTGGCCTAACAATAAAATTATATCACTTATATAGCGCTAGTAGAATCCTAAGAAGTCATTCTTGAACGTGGGAGAACGGACGCCCTCACGTTCAGCAAATAGGAGCGCCCTGACTAAATAAAATGTAAATGTAACCCGCACATTTACCACAAAACTTGCACCGTATGTGGGGAACCTCATAAATTTATTTTTCTGACAGTCCTCGATATATACATTATTATACCCTTCAATTTCTTTTGCAGCTGCAGAGGCAGTACAACTCTGGTATGATGAAAATAAATTGTACGATTACCAAAGGGGTGGTTTTTCCCCAAGTACAGCTCACTACACACAGTTGGTGTGGAAATCAACAACCCATGTTGGATGTGGCTACGCCGTGTCCAGGTCCCAAACATGTTTTGTCGTTTGCAAGTACTCTCCCCAAGGAAACATCCCTGATGAATACCAGAGGAACGTCCTCCGGCCTTGAAAATATTGAGTCACCGCCAGGTCATCAAGTAATATATCCAGTTATAACAATAAATGTGCTTGAAGCGATCTGTTTTAACATTCAGGCGTGTGTGTTCTTTGATTCTCCTCAGAGTTTTCCCGACATATTTAAAGACAGATATTCATCTTGCCCATCGTTCAGTAAAACAAAATATACGCGAAACAACAGTACAAATAAAGCATCTATAGAATTATGGTATAGTGATATATAGTATAAAATATATTTTAAACAGCAGTTAATGTTGACTAGCGCACATATATCTCAAGAATTAATCCGAGGTACAAATACAAAATCGAAATTTATGAGAAATATGTAATCCTGCATTGTTTTTCTAGTCTACAGTCGCAGACAATATTAAACCGCCCAGTGGAGCGAGTGGCTTACAATGCCTGCTGAGCTACCTACCAGAAGAAATCTGAACCATTATTAAGGCTACAGCGACGATTCAGGTTTCAACGTCGACGCCCGCTGGACAAGCTGCAGTTAATTTAATGCTGATTTTGCCGAATAAGGATGCGTTACGCCGCCAAAGGCAAAATCTAGCAAATATGGATCCATTGTTACAGAAGGTTGAACAATCCGTTTTCGGGCGTTTGGTAGTAAGTTCGCAGAATAACTGACGATGAGCATTTTTTTATTTATATCACCGATCACAATTATTATAAGAGTTGACTCAGCAATCGTCTGTCGACCCGACCAAGTGAGGGATAAAGACAAAACTCGAAGAGCCGCTGAAATGTCACTTGTTTACACAATAATCTCTATTATAGCTCAGCTCTTTTTCTCGTTATATAGCATTATAGATCTTCAGATTCACGCGGTCACCTGGACATTATTATATAGTCCACGAGTATGCTATTGATAATTGATGGAAAGTGCACTTTTAAAAACAGTCTCAAAAATCTCCGTAAGCATCTCATCTTTGAATCACGGTTTTTAATAAAAAGACGAACAGGACGAGTTCTAGTTAGCTGTAAATCATAGGTCGTCCAAAATACCCGTGATAATAAAAATTAGTACAGGGCAAACGTAAACCCCTGGACTTGTCCACCTATGGAGCGCGTTGACGTAATCCCTTTTTTCTCAAGATTTAGCTCAGTTGTAGCCTGGCAAATTTGTACATGCATACCAGGATGCATGATGGCTGCTCAATGAGAGGGTGAGGCAAATTACTGCAGCTTCCTGCAAGATGGCGTCCCACAGAGACGTGTACACTTTGCTAAAAAACGTAAGTAGTGGCATTTACAATAAATCAAGGTAAAATTGTAATCAGGTATGGCTATAATTGCCCTTCCACAAAAATAAATAGCCCTTATATAAAAATAAACCTGTTACTTTTGCCGCGTTTCATTCACCCTTGCTGTACTAAAAGAAGAAACGAAGCAAAAATAAATTATTGAGTTCAAGTTTATTTTTCATTCCTTTGTATTTATTGCCTTTGTGCATGCAGTCGTCTTCCTTTTGGACGGTTGTTGATTGGACTGGACTGGATGGTTTTGTGAGGCCGCGTCGTGGTTCCCACCCCTCTCTTTTGCTCCGCCCTTTCACTCATTATGTCCATTTTCCCTCTTACAAAAAGGAAAGATAATTTTCTCACACTTCAAATGACGCTGACACTCGATAGGAAAGATTGTCTCTTCAAAGACAACAGTATGCGGAACGCAGGCTGCGATCGAAGGAAAATGTGGTTACTGCATGCGAAACCACCAGCGCCTAGAGAACAGACTGGCTCTTCTAGCAGAACAGTACGGGCACCGTTGCGAGGTTGGAATTTCCATCTCTCGCCGAGTCGGAATATCTCCGCTAAATGATAACAGATGTCGTCGAGAATCCGGATAGCAATAGCAGCGATTTAAACATAAATTGTATGGTTAATTAAATCTTTAATATACAGGGTATTTCTCGAAACGCTGGCCAAATCGTCCCTGCGAAAAGAATATGTCACACAGAAAATTTGGATTCTTAATGGTTCTGCTAAAGGTGGTGGTTTAAAATATTAAAGACTATTGATATAATTAGGTTATAAATTACACTTGAATAATTAACTTTTAATATTGAACATAGAAAGATATGGCTAAAACTGAAAACATCTAGGCAATAATCAATGCCACAACATAAGACCCCACCACATTTTCCGGCCTTTTTGAAAAGCAAAAAAAAAAAAAAAAAGAACGCTCGATTCGGACGTTTTTAAACTTTGATTTTTTACCAGAATTTATCTCCGCGCCAGCGGACCTGCTCCGTGTTGTTAAATACGGAAACACGACTCGCCTCGCTCGAAAGTGGGTTAAAAGGTGGCGCCTGCCGACAAAAGGAAGCAATGTGCTATTAGAATAGCATTGCAAAAATAAGCTTTGATCCTTCGGTTCACCTCCATCAGTCAAAAAATGCGCAGCAACGAACGCTAGTGGCGCGCATAAACGAAGGGGAGCGTGACTACTGGCGCAAATTGGAAAACGGAAGTGCATATAAATTTAGCGTTTCTTTATAAACGACGAAACAAACTTACGTAAATATAGCTTTTAAAGTGGTTTCTTCAGTTGCATTCGGCTGTATTTAGTAAGGTTTAGACCCAAGTAAAAGCTTTAAATTTATGAATTAAAAAAGTGATTTACTAGAAAGTAATTATACAAAAATTATACCAAACACCATTTTTTTCAAATAGGCTTACTGTAAGAAACAAATACGACATTAATCTCTTTTCTGTGCGTAGCGCACGTGAGTTGCGCGTCTCAGTCATCAGCAGGAATCGGCTGCCGTTTCCCCAGGCGGGGAAACGGCAGCCGATTGGGCGACCCGATTGTGTCCCCACTTCAGGCAGGTTTGTGACACTCCACATAGATGGCGCCACGCAAAAAAGAATCGGGATACAAAATATCTTTATTCATTTTGCAGGCAACACGACCCGCTGGCAATTTATTTTGTAAACTCTGCATAAACCACGCAAGTTTAGTCGAGCAAAGTAACAATATATTCATGATGTAGGTTCTGTTTTGCCTGTAGTTTTCCATTACAAGTTAAAACAACCGAGAGTGCACGCAACACAGATACACTAAGGCGACCTGAGAAGTAAGCTGAGGGGTGTCCTAAATGCCTGGACGGCGTCGATTGCATTCCGCGAAAAGATTTGTTCGGCGATGTAGCTTTTAAGTTTCCACTGTTTAGGACCAAGAAAGGTAAGTTTTAGTTTCGACGTGATTTGAAGCCAGCGCTACCCCGTTACACTACACTGCGGTCGCAGTTTGAAGAAGGAAAAAGCGGAGATATTTAACACGGGCGATGTTGAGTTCGGGTGACAGAGACATCCGAACTGAACATCGCCCGTGTTAATTATCTCCGCTTCGGAACACAAAGCTAGCGCCCATACCTCAAGAGTCTTGGCCGTCCCCAGGCGTCAAAACTTGACTAATTACGCCGATTTCGTCTGCTACCGCCAAATTCGTCCGCTCCAAGCGCGTTCGAGAGCTAAACGAACACGACGAAAAACGAACATGAAGCAGATGTTTCGCAGAGAAATTCAGATTGCCAGCCTCTGACGCGGTCTCCAAAATGCATCAGAGTTAAGGAAAATTTCGGTAAATTATTGTCTGCTAATTTTATTTCTCCAGGATTTAATAAATTACACTTAAAATCAAAGAGTATCGCTGACTTGTTACGTTCTTTCGAAGAGTTTCAAACAAACACGAGTCCATCGTCTTCCGTATGCCGCCGCGCCATCTACTCTAAGGCGGAGGTACCTGCCGAGCAAAAATCCTCCAGGACACAATCCGGACTCACTGCAGAGGCAGGTTTTACTGCCTCTGTGGTGGCTCCTGGTTCGCAGAAGCAGGGCTCACTGCAGAGGAAGGTTTCAGGGTCTTGCTCCCTGGTCGCCAAGGAGCAAGACCGCTGAAACAAAGATGAGCTCCGTTAGGATACCGGAAACCAGATGTGCCTCCGAATTTTACGTTTTCTTTAAACGCCTTAAAACGGTCTCCCTGTCTTCTGCATTTATAAAATGAGTAAATTTAGTAGCTTTCAATAGTGCTTTATTTTTCCTAACTAAAATGTTGATTAGTAAATTCTAGGTGATTGTTTAGCTATTTAGTAATATTTGGCAATTCCTGACGTCCGCCATCGAGGGCAGTTTGTTTCCGTAGAGAGTTTTCTTTTTTGTGAACCCCCCTATCTTTAGTAATTGTTTTAAAGCCTGAGCTGAAACACCTTGTTTATAGCTCTTCAGTTTCAAATAAACCCAGCTCTGTTCGAGATTTCAGATCCCCTTGTCGGTTTTATTTGCCCTTGTCTCAGGGTTTAGATGTTTCTACACCAGACCGCCTGAATGCTATTGCTTCTTGCTGCCTTCAAAGGCACCCTCTAATGACGTTTCAGCTTCTTATTTATTATTTATTTATTAATATTTATTTTATCATCTCATTAGTGCTTTGCGCTAATCAGGAAACGAGTATAGCAGCCACGAAATAATAATCGATGGCGACAGAAAGTGTAGAAAACGCGCGACCAGTGACGTTACCGTTAACCATTTTGTCATGATTCTTTTTATGCAGTCTAATCCATCGTTATTTTTTAAAGGAATCGTTTCTATTGAGGGATAGAAATATAAAATTGACAAAGATATATTTGAAATGTGCAGAAGCAAAAAAAAATGACAACCAAGACCCGCCCGCTTCCCCTTTACGGAACCTTCCAAACCAGCCGGCGCGCATTCAACCTAGTACTTCTAGCACAACAAGGTGATTGAGTGCTGCTCAGATAACCCTTCGCGCGGGTGCCTCATCACCCCATCAGGAATCGGCATTTCGGGCTAGTCGGAGCGTGTACACGACGCTTGTTTCAGCGATTGCTGTCTGCTTTGTGTCATGTGCTGTTCTCGCCGTTCAGTATGGTGCCTCCGTTTTTGTGTGTTTGTATAAACAACGTCCGTGCGCTCGATTGGGCAAGTCTGTGCGTAGACGGCTCTATACTCGTTAACCCCAGAT